TCGAAACACTGCTTCTGCTACTTCGAAACATGACGCTTTACCTCATTTCGATCGAAACGTTTAATTCATTTGGCTTCTAATAACATTATCAAAATCTTCAGCCAACACATAGTTACGATAAACAAATAAATAATTGATCGGAATATATGATTAAACACAATGGTAAATTTGATAAAAGAGGTTTTTGAAATATAAGTTGTGAGGAAAGTAATGGAAGGAAAATAAAGGCAAGGTAAATAAGACATGAAAATAGAGGCAAGATAAATAAAGCGTAAAGTACTGAATAAAATAAGAACCTGCTCAAATCAGAGGCTTTAATTTAGTACAACTAGAAATAACTTGAAATAAGACTTCAACGGAATATAAAATGACGACAAGATTAAAATGCTTCAAATAAAAGTGTTCCAAACTCAACAGCAACAAAAGCTCGAACAATGCTATAACCCCTCGATGTGATGAGTTATAACTTTTAATCAGTGAATTTCTGCCTAAGGTTGTGCTAAGGTTGGATGATCCAAAAGAGTAACCAAAAGACCTATTTATAATAAAAATAAAACCCTAAAAGGGTGGATGAAGCTGCTGAATTCGTGCAATGAAAAAATAGGAGAAAAAGGAGGAAGTGCAAGACCAAGTCAAGACCCAATTCAACTGTAGCGAACTTTTAACGTGTGGCGACCGCCACACCTCCATGGCGAATACTATGCTCTCAAAGTGGGCAGGACTTGGTCTTCTGACCGTTGAGACGTGGACCACTCATGGCCACCTGGTAAACGCCATGGTGGTCGTCTTAAATGCAAACGGCTTCATTTCTTCATTTTTCGTCCGTTTTGCTTCGTTTCTTTGCATATGACTCCTAAATGGTAAAATACCTGAAACACATACAAATATCAGCATAAAAGAGAAAATGTAAAACAAAATGACAATAAAACATGTATAAATCGAGTCAAAAAAATGATGTAATTTGGTGTCATCACATCATTGAAGCTAACTGAAGCATTCCAGAAGTTCAAAACCTCCTGCAACCTTCAACTCAATTTCACTATTGTTGACCTTAGAATCTTCAACTAGAAAGGTAGATACAAGTTAAATTTTTGAACAAGAAAGTTACCACACTCTTCGTCTTTATTCAGTAACTCAAAGCCCCCACTTACTTGAAATTTATTCTTCGTATTTGTCATTTAATTTTACTTTGAAGCATTATGGTTTTATGTGTTTCTGAGCAAATTCTCTTTGCTTAGAGCCAATCAATGGCTCTAATGCCAATACACATGAATGATGACATGAGTAGAAGCTTAATCATGTGTTGTTTGAGCTTAAAACTCAGAGTTCATGAATTTGCAATAGTCGTTCCAAGGTTGAAAATGATGCAGGTTGCGCGTATTCTGATGAGAAAGTTTAAATTTCATCCAATCATAGCCAGACACGGAGCTAGCCGTTTGTTATTTTTATTTTATTTTTGTTTTTTAATTCATTTTAATTTCTCTTTTTCTTTTCTGATTTATTTTAAATAGTTTCTTTAACACTTTTTACTCCAATTTATTTTCATAAATCAATAAAATATTTTCTATCACATATATTTTTTTCTAGATTTTTAATATCATTTTAATCATTTTTTTCTATTTTCTTTCCATTTTCTTTTTTCATTTTCATTTAACATTTATTTCTCATGCATTTTGAAACATTTTTCACTCTAACTTTTGAGATCTAATTACTTATAATATTTCTAATTTTCTCCAATTATTTTGGTAATTTATTTGATGTTTCTTTGAAATTTTCTATTTAAATTTTTATTTTAAAGCATTTTCAAAATCATTTTAAATCATTTTTAATTATTATTTTGATCTATTTCTATTTGACTCTTGTTGACTTGGTTCATGACTTGGTTGATCAATGCTTCATCAATTTCAATTAGTATTTGAATGATACTTTGCTTGCATAAATTTTTATAATTTCAAATTTATCATTTAAATATTCATTTGATTATTTTTGGTACTTTAGATTAATGATAAGTTTATCTCATTGTATTGGGAACTTGAATGATTGAAATTAATGATAGATGATCTCTTGTTACATTTCAAGTGTGCTTGATCATCTCTCCTCCTCTATATTTCTTCTGTTACTTTTGTTTTGATCATTGTGTGATATTATTTTAGGAGGATGATTTTGTATCATTCCTCTAACATGTTAACACATAAATCATTATTGGATAATCTCACATAGGTGTGACTTCTACATAAGTCCACTTACGATTGCTTAATATAACATTAAATTGTCTCGACTCGGTTGATTCCTTATTAACACTGACATTGACATATTAATTGTGCTAAAAATCTAACTTTACTTTTATGCTCTTTACTTTATTATCATTTAGATTCATGTCATTTATATTCTTGTCATGTACATTTTTTTCTTTTACTTTATGTCTTTTATCTTTTTGCTTATTTTGCTTTATTGCTTCAAAAGAACAAAAAACATTAATAAAATGGATAAAACCTCCATCTAAACTTGTGGACTCTGTGTTACTATCCCTTGCTTAAGGAGTATTTTGGACCTTGGACCTTATGACTCAGTATTTTCTTTTGCTTGGGGTGGTTATATTTGAGACATTGGAATTCATTTGGACTTTTGCACTTCATTCAAAACTTGGTCTTGTCCTGAGAATCTCTGATCTTTACTTGAAGACTTAAAATTCTCTTTGTGGGTCTGTGACCTTCATATTCATATGGACATTTTGATGTTCATCTGCTTATGTGCTTGTTCATCTGACTTGCTTATCTTGTGGCTAAATTCAAAGAGAAAGAAATGTCATTTTGACCAATGTCAAATGCTTACTTCATCTTGTAGTTAGTATACTTACACACACAGAGGTTTTCTCTTGAGCTACCTTACAATGAGATATTTTATTTTATATTATTTGTTTTATATTTTAGGATAGCCTCTTCATCTCCTACCTACTTCTTCAATTTTCAAAATTTCTTTCTATTTTTAAAACATCTCCTTATTTTCAAAACTTCTTATTTCAAACTCCAAACTTTTTCTTAATAAACCTTGACCTTGTCAAGTGATCCCAGAATTTTTTCTTAATAAATGTTAAAACACTTAAGCATATTCAAACTCTTTTCAAAACTTCTAAAAAAGACAAACCTCATCAAATTTATTTTTGTGCCTTTGTGCACTTTTCTTTTAACACATTTTCAAAGATTGGATATTAGTCTATTCTAGTAGTGATGTAAACCACTATACTTCTACATTATATTGTTAAGTGATTGATATTTTTTACTTGAATGTTGAGACATGCTTGTGAGAAAATCTAAGTAAAATTCTTCATCTCAAGATGATGCAAATGCTCACTTTCTCATACTTGTGAGTAGTAAGTTGTATTTTTTCACTCGAATACGATAAAATGTATTTTTAATTTAAAATGAATCAACAAAATTTCGAGATTATTTTTACCACGAACTACAAGACTTTGACTTCTTCATTCCACATGGAGGATACATATGCACATGACTCTTAAAGTCTTGACGAGTATAAACATATAATAAAAATATTTATTTTCTCATCACCCCAATTTTTATTTTTGCAAACAATCCAATTTTTTATCATAACACGAATTTTTAAGAGATTCCTATAGAATACCATAGATGTGAAGGGTGATAATAACTTCCCCTTGTATAACCAACCTGTGAATCCATATTTCTCTTTTTTTATTTTATTTTATTTTCACGTTCGGTTTTCTTGAATTTTTCCTCCCTTGAAAACAAGAAAGTTCAGTGGCGACTCTTATTTTTCTGAGTTAAGCTTAATCTCAATTTTTATCATAACACATATTTTCAAGAGGTTCCTATAGAGCATCATAGATGTGAAGGATGCTAATACCATTCTCTTGCATAACCAACCCACGTATCCAAATCTCTTTTTCTTTATTTTATTTTCGCGTTCGTTTTTTTTTTTTTGATATTTTTTCTTTCTCTTGAAAACAATAAAATTCGGTGGCGACTCTTATTTTTCCGAGTTAAGTTAATCAGTAGCTTAATCTCAATTTCCCTCCGCGACAAGATAGAGCAGAGCGAAATGAGGTGGAATAAAATAAAATGCTATTGTTTGGATAATTTTAAAAAGGATGGAGCATAGCAGAATAAAGTGTTATTGATTTCATTCTATTCCATTACTTACCACCATATTTCCTCCCATCCAATTTGAACGAAATGAATAAATTATCTTATTCCATCCAAAAATTTCCAAACAATAGAATGATATCTTCGTTCGATCGAGTTAACACAAAGAACAAATTTGTAAAAAAAATAATGATAAAAATCAAAGTTATAATAATTATATGAACAACAACAAAAAATGTTATATGAACAAAAAAAAACTTATATCACACTTTTTATTTATAATGTGTCTGATTTAGCTTGGAAGCATGCGTACACTCACATGACATAGAAATTTTACCTCCAACTTAGTTATAGGCAAGGTTTGAAAGAAAATGAAGTTTGTGCCTATTCTTGATTCTAACCCCAAAATCACAAAGATAACATCTTTTCCTAACAACTTGTTGGTTTAAGAACTCATTATTTGATCAACATTATAGTGTTTGCATTCTCCCTAATTCCAGATTAGAAGAGATGAAAGATATACAAAACACAAAAAACATTTCCTTAAGAAATAAATAAAATGTACAAAAGATGTTATAGTTTAGTCACCTCCAAACTGCTATTATCGATCGGAGACTAGTTCTCAGCAGACTGGGTGACTTAAGAGACATCGAAAGAGTACTAATCAGAAAGAACAAGATATGAACACTGAAAACTAACATAACGGTCTATCTGGAAAATACGCAAACAAAACTCAACTCTGCGAAGGATTACACATCCTTCGACATATAACCTCAGCTTGTCATTGTTTCCAAAACTGCGCCTCACTAAAACTTCTTCTGTTCAAGTACCAAACTAAATAAGGCGGCGGAAGTGAGTTAGTAAATAAAAACTGAAACCAATTTACAAAGGAGACCGGAGAGTGAAAAAGTTGAAGTCGTGGTGGTGAACGTTGAGTTGCTTCAACCACGATTCTGCGGCACTGTACATGTCAGACACCCTTTCGTTGCCAGAATCAGAAGAGGATGATGAGTTTAACCAAAAAGGTTTCTGCATTTTGTAACTGGCCATCCCGAAAGGAGACAGAGATTTAAAACCACTCTTGTTTTCCTTGCTTTTCTTTCCCACACCTGCCCATTCTTCAGAACAGCTTATGTCTTTTCCTATGTCTATATCATCATATGTGGTTTTACAATCTGCAGAATGAGAACTTGTTAGAACAACAAATGCACGATGTTATACAAATAGAAAAACGCACGATGTTATACCCAAAAAACTCAGAGATATTATGAGCGTGTGCACGTGAAAATGAGTGATCATACACATTGTATCTTTTGTGAAATGCAAGAAAAGAAACAAAAAAACATTGACAAGCAAAAACTCAAAATGATTTCAAATGTTAGTAGGATTTTGGGAAAACATACTCGTTAAACGGAAAAAGACTAATGACTACTACATCAAGATACCTTGGAAAGATGATGATAGTGTATGGTAAGTTAGGAAGCATGCAGAGAGCTCCTTTTCACTTGGTTGATGATTCGGTATGGAATAAATAGGGTACCTATCCAAAGATAAACAATTCGGTATAAGAACTTTCTACCTTGAAATCTAACAGAAAAAGTATGCAAATACAAGCCTCCTAAGATTTGTGACAGTTCACAAAACTACTACTAGTATCTTTTAAACTACAAGTTACTTTCAAACTTCCAACTACGGCGAAAAAAAGGGCCAATTGAACACATCAAACACTTCCAAGTTGAAATGTTCATCTTTAAGAAGCAAAGACATTGGATCTTTTTCAAAGAGTAGAGTCTCGTGCATAAAAATGTTGACTCTTAAGACTATGGACCTTGTTTTTAAGAGAATTGGTTTTGTCACCAAAAATGAGGTAGCGACACAACTTATTGTCGGATTACCTTCCAACTCTGTGTAATCCTTATAGATTACTACATCTATCTCTTCAAGAACAAGAAGATTTAAGGATAACACGAATAATTAGTTGTTCTCACCAAGCAACAGCCATCCAACTTGCAGGGGAAACATCCACACTTTTCAGAGTCATCAATGCTGGATGGCTTTTAGCAAGCTCCGATATCTGAGACAAGAAAAATCACCAGACGGCGGGCATTGTGCGAGAGAGCATATATCATTACATTCCTTTTTGTATTACCTCCAAAAACTTGTGTGTACTACTTAGTAATCAAAGTCTTACCTTCAAAGAAAATGGAATCCTCAACCAAGGCGGTAAAGTCTCGGTATACTGTAAATAAAGGTATCCAAGCATATCCCTTGTTGGCCACGAACCTGATTGATCAGAGCTCGAATCCAAGGAATCAGCATCCCATGCCTTGCTAGAATTGTTACTTAATGATCTAGATAGGCTATCACTTCCACTATCTTCACTCGAGGAATCAAATTCAGATTCAGCTGCATCACTTTCCTCTTTCTTAATCCTTAAAGGGAATAAAGAAAATTACTCACTCGACCATTTTGTCGATGCATTTGGTAAATAAATTTGCAATACTATTTTATGTTTACCTGGAAGAAGCTGCAACAGACTTACTGGTGTAGATTTGGATGGAAGATAGATAGGGAACATAATATTGCATCAAAGCATCGTGGTTTCCCAACAGCATCGGCGTACCAGCACCCAATGCACTCCATTTTTCATAGCAGTTCCAAAGATCTTTCAACTCAAAGCATTCAATAGTGTCCTTGCCAAGAGGTAGCCATTGGCTATTTAGTTCATTAGAACAGCTCTGCAAAATTATACAACACAAGTAAACAAATTGAAAATTCGTTCCAATGTCCATTCAACTATAAGGAATCATTATCAATCAGGAAAGCAGGAAAAACAATGGACTCAATGCTCCAATATCATAAGAGAGACACATCTCCAACAACAATGGACTCAATGCTCCAGTACCATAAGAGAGACACGTCTCCATCCAAAATATTAAGACATTAGGTATCTGAGTCACCACTCTTATAACTCAACATTCTAATGAATCATAGACAATGTGAGACTTAACCGCTCACACTTGAACCCAGCATTTCTTCTTGTTACTAAAATGTATTTGGTCTTAATATAAATAAGATACATCAACTATTCAATGAACTTGAAATGAGAATCTTTGTTTATAACACTTACAAAAGATAGTACTATGTTAGTAGCCAGTGTTCGAATCTAGAACCTCCTTAGAATATCCTGGCATAACCAATTAAGTTAATTAAACATGTTCCATAATTAAAAGTATTTAGAAAACCATACCCCCATATGCAGGGACCAATTTTTTATGACCAACAAACATGGGGCAGAGTGAACAAGCAATGAGAATCACGTGACATTAAACTTTTTTAAAAGTTTAATCACAAAGCTTATCTTTCCAGATAAGCCTTGGTCCTACCCCTAACTCCCAAACCAATGGAATGATGAAGAATTAAATAAACCTGTCTTTAGTCTTCTCCAAAATCACAATATCACAAACTTACACATATGATAAAATTCAGTTTTAGTATTTCCAAGTAATTAATTAAACCCACTTTAAATTTACCAGAGTGTTTTCCCTAGTTGGTTTTAGTGGAGAATATTTTAAAGGACTAAATCTATATTTTAATATATCCTGGTTCGTATTAGAACGCTACTTGCTCAACGGACAATTATGTTTTGCCTACATTTTTTTCGAAGCTAGTTAAAATTTTCAATTTTAAATTTATAATCTCTGATACATCGTTACATTTTTTTTTTGCAAGCACTAACATTAATATAAAATTTTAAAATTTTTAAACTTTAAAAGTACATTACTTGCAAACCCGCCCCACCCTCTTTTTTTTTAAGAACAAATCAAGATTTTAGACTCATGACCTTGACCCATTTCATTTTTTTTTGTGGGAAGGGTCTAAAATGACTAAAATGACGTTTGTCACCTAAGATAACTACATATAAATGGTATCAAGGAATATTCCTTAAAACGGGGTCGTTTGATCCGTCCTTCATTATTGCATTTTCCAATCTTTGGACATAAAAGTCTCACCTTGAAGACCCTTGACGCACATAAAACAAAATCCGATGTTACTGTACAAAACAACATTCATTAAATTATTACAAACTTTCGTATTCTAGTTTATAATCCAGTACTTTATCATTCAATTCTCAAAAGCCTGGTCACTTTTCTACATTTATTTAACATAAAAATCAGATTTTTAATTAATTTTGCCTCGTCAACAAAATCTCAAGAAATCTTCATTCATTAAATCAATTCAAATTCCCAAAAATTAATTTACATCAAATTGTATCCACCATTATCCCCAAATTAACTAATTTATTCATATTCCACTAGTGAGTATGGACTTATAGGGAGGACCACAGTTTAATTTCTACAGTTGTGATCAGAAGAGAGCTGAAATTGTGATGACAAAATTGATTCTCGAACCAAATTAATAGATTAGAATGCAAATAAAAAAAATAAAAATTTCATTCTTTAAAAATATAATAAAAAATGATTAAAAAATTAATAAAAATACCTGAAGAACAAGATTGTGAGAAGGAACTTCTGGAGTGACACTGAGAACAAAACGATCCACATTTGTGAGCGAATTTCCAGAACATGACGAAGATGCCATTAATTTTCTCTCGAGAAAGTTACAGAAAATACTCAGAATCAAACCACGATCAACGCCTTCAAATCCTCATGCCACTTTTCTTTCCAAATAAAACAAATAAACAAGTCAATCAATTCAATTATTATTTTCCACAAGTCAAAATAAAAATAAAAAATAAAAATATTTTTTCGCCATTATCACTTTGGAGTTTGAATAGATGGAGAGAAAGAGAAAGAGAAAGAGAAAGAGAAAGAGAGAGAGAAAGATTACCTCATAGTTTCAGAAAGTAACGAAAAGAAGGAGAAGAAGAATGAGAAGAGAATAGAAGAAAAATAATATAATAATCCGATTTAGAATAAAAATGAACAAATCGGTGTAATAGAAGTAAGTATTTTTGAAAATCAAGTAATTTTTGAAGTAAATGGAAAAATAATGAGAATAAGAAAAAAACATGAACATAGAAAGAATGTAAATTTATTTGCTTACTTTGTATGTGTTGTTACTTGTTATGATGCGATAATGTGGTGTTGTAGATTTTTGTTTTAGAGAGAGAGGGAAAAGAGAAAAGTTTTAGAGAGAGAAAAAGAGAAACGTTTTAGAGAGAGAGATTGGTGTTTGGTGGCGGTGGCGAGAAATTGAGAGTACGCTACGCCGCGTGTGAAGGAGACAGTATCAGCTGATTGAGTTAAACTTTTGCTTTATGTTTTTTTTTTCTGTGTTGTTTTTTTTATATTTTAATTTTAGCTTGTGGATTAGAAAAGCCACGTGTTGAAAATGGTTACTTGTTTTGTCTTTTAAAAATCTACTATTGTCCTTTTTGATGTTGTACATGTGTGTTATGTCCTTATCAAGTATCATCACACGTTTAACCAAATATGATAATATTATCAAATTAATGGATTAAGGATATGAGTATGAATCTAATTTTAACTATATTTGTGAATAAAAAACAGAGAGATTCTTTTAACAAAATATAGTATAATTTTTAATTTTAACCTATCTCACTTTTCAAAATTATTCTCTATTTTTTCTAATTTAATTTGCTAAATAACAATAAAATTTAGTGTATCCACGCCATTTCAATTAGTGTGGGTTTTTTTCATTTTACTTTTATAAATATATGTTATATTTTAAATTAACTAATAAGTTAATATAAAAATTAATTTGTTTTAATAATAAAAATAATTATTTAATATTTATAATATTATTTTACCCACGTCATTTCAATTTGTTAATTAAAAATAAAATATTATATATGACTCAAAAAGTACAAATGATAATTTTTAAAAACCACTAGTACTAATGTTGTGGTTCAAACTTCAAAGTGGTGGTTGCTTCCACATCGGCAAGATATTTAAGGTCATCTTTGACGTAATAACAATTGCACTTTATCTTGGACAATGGTAAAGGATAAGAATTTTTTACAAATATATCATTTTTTTTAATTTAAATACTAAATTATCATTTTTTTCTTTCATAAATATTAAAATACTATTTTTTAAATAAAAATAATAATATTTTAAATTATATTTGTCAATTGATTTGGTGGACCTTCTTATTTTATATATATTTTTTGTTATATTTTATTTTTCTACGAATTTTTTTGAAAAAATTGAATTCTTTGAAATTTCGGATAGATTTTAGTACAAAATTTCTTTTTTATGAAAATTTCTCTGAATTTATCAACGAAATTTAATAAAATCATATATATACAAAAATTATATATTTGAGAAGTTCGTAGATAATTTCGTAAGAATGTTATTTTGCAAAAAATTTCACAGATAAAATCTATAGGAAAGTCAGTAGGTATTAAATAAATAATTTAAAAAAAAACTTACACATCCATTAAATGAATGAGCGGAACTTTTTTATTTTGTACTATTCCCTCCCTTGAATGGGCGAAGGCTCTTTACCGATAATAATATTTTTGAAATCATGATATATTGATATATATTGATGAATTAAGTGTTAGTTTGATATTTCTTATCTAAAAAAATGATAGCACAGTAGAAAAAATTCAAAGGATAGCACACAGGTAAAATTTTGATATGATTTAGCTTGTGGTTGAAAAGAACTATCTTCATCCAATGCACATAAAATCATAAAAAGTAACAGCAGATTTGTTGAAGTAAGGATATAGATAAATGAAGGATTAAGATTTATGGCAGAATAACAGCAACTGACAAACTGTAGGAGAGGATCCATTTCCCATTTATTAACTAATTTCATCATCTTATTAATCAATCTTTTATATTTTATTAACCAATTTTATTTTAGAGTTAAAAATAATTTTTAATATTCGAATGTTTATTGTTTAAATTATAAATTATATTAATCAATTTTTTACACTCAATTAATCAATTTGTGTTATTACTGTTCATAAATTGTTCATGATTATCGTTCATATCATTATTTATTGTATTTATGAATAGTAAATATAGTACAATTGTAAGAAATAGTGTAGAAATAACATGGCAGTTTTGATAAAAAAGTTTATGACAAATTTGAATAACATGTCATTTGATTTTATATATTACATGATGAAAATAATTCTGTTTAGTTTGTTACTAAACAGTTAGTTAATTTGTTACAGTTAGTTAGTTTGTTACAGTTTGTTACTTAAACAGTATATATAATACTGTTTTGTAAATTCCAAAATAAGAAATATACTACGAGTTTATTCCAAAATTAACATGGTATCAGTTTGAATTCTCTTTTCCGCACCTTTCTTCTTCCTTTGCTGCATCAGCTTGATTATGGCGCTTCCTTACTCTGATTTTGCTACCAATCCTTCCAATCCTTACTACATGCACCCTAATGAGAATCCCTTTCTTGTTCTTGTTCAACCTGTTCTTGATACCAAGAACTATCAGATCTGGTCCAGATCGATGAAAGTAGCTCTTATCTCCAAGAACAAGATCAAATTCGTTGATGGCACTCTTTCTCCTCCCCTATCTCCGACTCTCTATACGAACCTTGGCTGCGATGCAACAATCTCGTCCTCTCATGGCTTCAACGCTCAATTTCTGAGGAAATTGCAAAATCTCTTCTCTGGTATGATCGGGCTTCTCTTGTCTGGAAAAGTTTGGAAAATCGTTTTTCTCAGGGAGATATTTTTCGCATTGCTGACATTCAAGAAAATGTTGCTCGTCTTCAACAAGGAACTCTCGATATCTCTTCGTTCTTCACGAAATTGATGACGCTTTGGGAAGAAATCGAGAACTTCCGGCCAATTCGTGATTGTACTTGCGCTATACCGTGCTCCTGTGGTGCTGCTTCAGACTTACATAAATTCAAAGAACAAGATAAAGTTATCAAGTTCTTGAAGGGCCTTGATGACCAATACGCTCATGTTCGCTCGCAGATTATGTTGATGAAACCACTGCCAACTCTTGATAATGTGTTTAATCTGGTTCTTCAACAAGAACGTCAATTCAACCTTCTTTCACCTTCTGCTTCTTCGATTGAGTCTCAATCGTCTGTGAATCACCTTTCTCAAGCACCTTATCGTTCTTCTCACAACCCTGGTCGTGGTCGTGGCCGTGGAAACCGACTCTGTACTCATTGTAACCGCACCAATCACACCATTGAGACTTGCTTCTTGAAACATGGCTATCCCCCTGGATTTCAACAACGCAAGCCTACTACATCTGTGGGGAATTCTGTTGATTCTACAGTGAACTCGATTCAAGATGCTGCTTCCACATCAAACACCAGTCCAAGTGCTTTGTCTACAATTCAAGAGCAATACACTCAGATTCTGCAGCTCCTTCAACAATCTAATTTGCAATCTCCTTCACTTCCCTCGACTAATTCAGTTTATACTGCTAATTCTGTGTCCCATACCTCTCCTCATACTTCCTCTGGTAAGAATTCCTCAAATCTCCCTTGTCATAACTGGTGGATCATTGACACAGGTGCCACTGATCACATCACCCATATCTTTTCCAGTTTCCTTTCCACATACCACATTGCACCTAAATCTATGACAATGCCTAATGGTGACTCTGTCACTACAACTATTGCTGGTTCAGTTTTACTATGTGGTTCACTTATCCTTCACAATGTTTATTACTTTCCTTCATTTCATGTCAATATTATCTCTGTCACCACTCTTTTTGACTCCACTTTATATGATGTGAAATTTTCTCCTAATTGCTGTCAAATTATGCAGTTGCCCCAATCCAAGATGACTGGATTTACAGCTAGGAGGATTGGCAAATTGTATGTTCTTGATGCCACCCCACCTAAGACCATCTCTCCCACATCTGGCTCTGTCAACACCTCCTCTTCTCCCCAATTAGAACCTGCTAAACACGATCCTGCTACTATTTAGCATCTTAGGCTTGGACACTTAAGTCCCTACATACACAAATGTATTTCCTCTCAATTTCCTTTTGTCACCTACAATGACAATCATAAGCCCTGTAACACTTGCCATTTGGCTAAGCAAAAACATTTTCCATTTACTCACAGTAATACTAAGTCTGTTGCCATCTTTGATTTACTTCATGTTGATATTTGGGGCCCTCTTTCCACACCTTCCATATGTGGCCACAAGTATTTTTTAACCCTCGTAGACGATTACAGCAGGTTTACTTGGACAATTTTTATGGCCAACAAAAGTGAAACCAGAAACCATTTATTTCACTTCATATCCTTTATCGAAACTCAATTTAACAAGAAACTCAAGTGCATTCGAAGTGATAATGGTCCTGAGTTTCTCATGACCACTTTCTACCTTTCTAAAGGAATCCTTCATCAAAGGTCTTGTATGGAAACGCCTCAACAGAACAGTATCGTGGAAAGAAAACATCAGCACATTTTGAATGTTGCCCGTGCCCTCTATTTCCACTCTTACCTCCCTCACAACCTTTGGCACCTTTCCATACAACAGGCAATTCATATTATAAACCGTCTTCCCACTCCTCTTTTAAATAACCACTCTCCCTACCAAAAACTCCATTCTACTCCTCCCAGCCTTAACCATATGAGAGTCTTTGGTTGTCTTGCCTATTCTT